CAAGGAGAAAATAATGCCATATAGCAGCATGAAGGTGTCTGTGTAAAAAGATAGAAAAAAAAAATACAGCGGTGTGTGGCACAGTGTATATTTCAAATCAGAACTGGTAGACAAATGTAAATATGCTATTTTTACTGTGACAGCAGGGAGAGGAGATTAAACTGATTTCCTCGTGAATTCATCTCTAAACCAATATATGGTATATGAACTGCTTCTCCATTAATAGATTTGTTGTTTTTCTCTAATACATTTATTTTGCGAGCATATTTTAATTTCAAATATGTGGACTCTCAAGTGTACTCCCCAGTGGGTTATAAACAGAACTCATTCCAATGTAAATTTTGATTATGGGGGTGGAAAGTGACCATCTGCTACATCTACAGAATTGTAAACTGGAAAGGTTCCAATTATCTCTAGGATTATTGATTGCCTTAACAAGTACAGAACACTCATTTGTTCAAACAGGAGCTAGGGGAAGCTGGACATAGTAACAATCAGATGTTTACTTAAGGTTTTCATTATGTGCAGGAAAATCTGATATAATCTAATTGGCTGTGATGTCACATACCTTAATTTCCTCAATAATCCCTCCTGAGTTTAGGAGCACTCGCTTCACCCCTGCCAGATGTGTACGTCTTATGCCGCTACACCCTCACCATGACCTACATTTTTATTTTTAGTGATGTGTACTTGACCAGTTTATCCAGTAAGTGCATATTTCAGTAATCATGTCAGAGGAAACTTTAATAACACCAACTTTAATAGGTCTCGCTACACTGACAAAAGCTCAAATCGCATAACATTTACGCCATCTTTCGATTTCAATATTACAATTGTTGTGTACTTATATGTTGTGTACTAGGAGCTTCTTTTCTTCATAGATTCTTAAAAGTTACTACTGGTAGTGCTTCGCCCTTCTGTTGCGTAAAACAAGCATAACTTTACATTTACATGTATTAAGAAGTGTTGCTTTTAGCTTCTGCACTGCACTGTTGCGTACATGGAGAAATATTTAATTCAAATGCCCTTCACCATACAAAACCATGTGCCCAATGGTGTACCAACAAGTAGCTGAGCAACTTGTAGGTACTCCATTGCTTTGATTAAATGTTTTCCATCTCTTGGCACAATTCACATGGATGTCCATGACTGAAGTCAACTACATGTCATTAAAGTGATCATAATAAAACTATAGTGTTCACTCACTGCAATAAATAACTCTAAACATTATTCAGATATGGTCATATTAAAGTGGCCCTACATGAAAATGTGACACACTAGTAGTATAACCTACACTGTCCCATTGTCACTTTGTAAAGTAAGAAAACTGTTTAGTTATGTTCGGGTGTAAACAGCCTGGCACCACAAATGGCATTCAATTCGGCAGGGTTTCAACTGACAGAGCAGCCTGGACCTCCTAGTCTAAGGCTGGATTCGCACTGTTGCACTGAGGTAACACATGCATTAGTGCATACTTGTTACTGCAAGGCTTGTGGTGTACACATCTCAGTGTAGCAGGTCTCTTAAGACTTCAGAGCCAGTGAGGGGAAAAAATAAACCATTAAGCTCTGTTCATAAAAGGCTGAATGAACAAGACCATGTGTTGGTGGTTGAGAGGTGCCAGAATTGGAAATGTTTTTTTTTTATTTCTGCCACAATGCAAGGCCCTGCTTAAATGATAAATCCAAATAAATCTGACAATATATAATTTTTGATAGATGGCAAAATAGAAG